GAGCTTGCGTGGTCCAGGAGCTTGCCTGGTCCACGAACCTGCCTGGTCCAAGAGCTTTCCTGGTCGAGGAGCGTACATGGTCCCCGAGCGTGCCTCGTCTAGGAGCTTGCCTGGTCCTGGAGCTTGCCTGGTCCAAGAGCTTGCCTGGTCCGGGAGCTTGCCTGGTCCAGGAGCTTGCTTGGTCCACGAGCCAGCCTGGTCTAAGAGCTTGCCTGGTCCAGGAGCTTGCCTGGTCCAGGAGCTTGCCTGGTCCAGGAGCTTGCTTGGTCCACGAGCCTGCCTGGTCCAAGAGCTTGCTTGGTCCAGGAGCGTGCATGGTCCACAAGCGTGCCTGGTCCAGGAGCTTGCTTGGTCCAGGAGCTTGCCTGGTCCATGAGCTTGCCTGGTTCAAGAGCTTGGTCCAGAAGCCTGCCTGGTCCAAGAGCTTGCCTGGTCCAGGAGCATGCCTGGTCCAAGAGCTTGAGTAATCCAGGAGCTTGCCTGGTCCAAAAGCTTGCCTCGTCCAAGAGCTTGCCTGGTCCAAGATCTTGCGTGGTCCAGGAGCTTGCCTGGTCCAAGAGCTTGCCTGGTCCAAGAGCTTGTGTGGTCCAAGAGCTTGCCTGGTCCAGGAGCTATCCTAGTCCAGGAGCTTTCCTGGTCCAGGAGCTTGCCTGGTCCAGGAGCTTGCCTGGTCCAGGAGCTTGTGTGTTCCACGATCGTGCCTGGTCCAGGAGCTTGCCTTGTCCAGGAGCTTTCTTGGTCCATTAGCTTGCCTGGTCCAAGAGCTTGCTTGGTTTAGGAGCTTTCCTGGTCCAAGAGCTTGCCTGGTCCAGAAGCTTGCCTCGTCCAGGAGCTTGCCTTGTTTAGGAGCGTGCCTGATCCACGAGTTTGCCTGGTCCAAGAGCGTGCCTGGTCTAGGAGCGTGCCTGGACCACAAGCTTGCCTGGTCCAGGAGCTTGCCTGGTCCAAGAGCTTGCCTGGTCCAAGAGCTTGCCTGGTCCACGAGCCTGCCTGGTCCAAGAGCTTGCCTGGTCCTAGCGTGTGCAAAAAATCAAGAACAAGGGCCTAGCATTCGCGAAATAGCAAGAACAAGGGCCTAGCGTGTGTAACATTGCAAGAACAAGGGCCTAGTATGTGCAAAATGGCAAGAACAAGGGCCTAGCATGTGCAAAATCGCAATAACAAAGGTCTAGCGAGTGCAAAATTGCAAGAACAAGGGCCTAGCGTGTGTAAAATAAAAAGAACATAGGCATAGCGTGTGCAAAATAGCAAGAACAAGGGCCTAGCGTGTGCAAAATAAAAAGAACAAGGGCCTAGCGTGTGCAAAATAAAAAGAACAAGGGCATAGCGTGTGCAAAATAGCAAGAACAAGGGCCTAGAGTGTGCAGAATTGCAAGAACAAGGGCCTAGCGAGTGCAAAATTGCAAGAGCAAGGGCCTAGCGAGTGCAAAAAATCAAGAACAAGGGCCTAGCGTTCGCGAAATAGCAAGAACAAGGGCCTAGCGTGTGCAAAGTTGCGAGAACAAGGGTCTAGCGTGTGCAAAATTGCAAGAACAAGGGCCTAGCGTGTGCAAAATAAAAAGAACAAGGGCATAGCGTGTGCAAAATAGCAAGAACAAGGGCCTAGCGTGTGCAAAATAAAAAGAACAATAGCCTAGCGTGTGCAAAATAAAAAGAACAAGGGCCTAGCGTGTGCAAAATAGCAAGAACAAGGGCCTAGAGTGTGCAGAATTGCAAGAACAAGGGCCTAGCGAGTGCAAAATTGCAAGAGCAAGGGCCTAGCGTGTGCAAAAAATCAAGAACAAGGTCCTAGCGTTCGCAAAATTGCAAGAACAAGGGCCTAGCGTGTGCAAAATCGCAAGAACAAGGGTCTAGCGAGAACAAAATTGCAAGAACAAGGGCCTAGCGTGTGCAAAATATAAACAACAAGGGCATAGCGCGTGCAACATAGCAAGAACAAGGGCCTAGCGTGTGCAAAATAAAAAGAACAAGGGCCTAGCGTGTGCAAAATAGCAAGAACAAGGGCCTAGTGTGTGCAAAATAGCAAGAACAAAGGCCTAGCGTGTGCAAAATAAAAAGAACAAGGGCCTAGCGCGTGCAAAATAAAAAGAACAAGGGCCTAGCGTGTGCAAAATAGCAAGAACAAGGGCCTAGAGTGTGCAGAATTGCAAGAACAAGGGCCTAGCGAGTGCAAAATTGCAAGAGCAAGGGCCTAGCGTGTGCAAAATTGCAAGAACAAAAGTCTAGCGTGTGCAAAATTGCAAGAACAAGGGCCTAGCGTGTGCAAAATAAGAAGAACAAGAGCATAGCGTGTGCAAAATAGCAAGAACAAGGGCCTAGCGTGTGCAAAATAAAAGGAACAAGGGCTCAGCGTGTGCAAAATAAAAATAACAAGGGCCTAGCGTGTGCAAAATTGCAAGAACAAGGGCCTAGCGTGTGCAAAATTGCAAGAACAAGGGCCTAGCGAGTGCAAAATAGCAAGAGCAAGGGCCTAGCGTGTGCAAAAAATCAAGAACAAGGGCCTAGCGTTCGCGAAATAGCAAGAACAAGGGCCTAGCCTGTGCAAAATTGCAAGAACAAGGGCCTAGTATGTGCAAAATAGCAAGAACAAGGGCCTAGCGTGTGCAAAATCGCAAGAACAGGGGTCTAGCGAGAACAAAATTGCAAGAACAAGGGCCTAGCGTGTGCAAAATAAAAACAACAAGGGCATAGCGTGTGCAAAATAGACAGCAACTTCCCAAGCTTTGCATGGCAGCTGGTTGGGCCGAACGTAACTTTGGCCTTGCTTCTCTGCAGCCGGCGCACAGAGAGGAGGTTAGGAGACAAACCTTGAACCAACAGTACATTCCCCAGCCCCACAAGCCCCCCATTGGCTCCCATGGCCTTGGCATTCCCAACACCAATCACAGAGAGCAAAGCACCTGAAGCGGCAGCCACAAACTTTATCTTCCCGGGGGGTTTCACCTCATCAAGCAAATCTGCCCGTGGAGTCATGTGACTCGTGCAACCTGAATCGATCACCCAGTGAGTGAGGGGGTGCATCACAACCTTCCCAACTGAACCCACATCACCCTCACTCCCTTTCACATCCTCAACCATGAGGAACATCCCAGGGTCGGCTTTACCTTGTGCACCATCACCTTGTGCACCTGAACCTTGCACAGCGCCACCTCGTGCGCGTTCACCACTGGGCGGCTTCATGCCTGGAGGCGCCCATCCTTCAGGCCGGCTGAAACACTTGAACCATGGGTGTCCAGCCTTCTTGCAGTACCAGCACGCACCCTCCATTCGGGTGCTCCCCCTGCCACCAGAGCTCCCATGCCCCTCGTTGTTGTCACCTCGACCTCTTCCTCTGCCAAAGCCTCTCCCACGGACTCGGCCTCTCCCACCCCCTCTTCCTCTGCCTGCTGCAGCTCCACACCCCTCAGCAGTTTTGTTGGCAGCACCACCTCCCGTGTGACGCCTGCGGAAGTCCTCTTGCAAGATCTGCTGCCGTAGCCACTCAGGTGTCCACTTGTCCTGCTGAACGTTGAGGGTGGGGATAAGGTTGTCCCACGAGTTGTCGAGCACCGAGATGATCTTGGTGCACTGCTGCATCTCCGACTCCTTGCTGCCCGCCGCTGCCATCCTCCCATAGGTGTCCTTGATCTTGTCAAGCACCGGTTTCACATCGTCTCCCGGCCGCATGGAGAGGGCAGCCAGCTCCTTCTCCAACACGATCACCATCGGCAGCATGTTGGGCTGAACCACGTCGCGCAGTAGCTTCCACGCCTTTGGTCCGGAGTCATCGAGCTCCACCAAATCCTTGATGTGCTGAAACATGTCGTTGTTCACCGATTGAAGGATGAGGTCGTACAGCACCGCGCTTCGCTCAATCCACAGATCGCGGGCATCTCCTTCCTCGGGCATCTTCTCCTCTCCCATAGCCAATTTCAGCAGCTTGTATCGCTTGAAGGCGCTCCTCATCCACCCACTCCATTCTTCATAGTTGGAGCCATCCAATGCCTCAATCTTGGATGGTGGCGGCTCACTCTTCTTCTCAGCTGCTTCTCCACTCCCTTGACTCATCTCCTCAGCTCCTTATCACAGGTTTCAGCTCCCCCCTTTGCTGGTCACAATGTAAATCCATATTATTTTCACAAGTGACGGCGCCAACGAAATTTCGGCAGAGTTTCCCCTTAGCGGAAGTCACATGCAACCTCCACAACTCCACTTAGACACGCCCACAGGCCATGGTGGGTCTGGGAGGGTTTTCACACTTCAGTAGACTCTCCACAAAGTCCTTAATCAGCTCTGATACCACTTGTTACAGACTAAGGACGGAGTCTATGAAGATTATGTGTCTAACTTTTTCAAAATCGTTGGTCTCAATTTCTGGACAGAATCGTCGAGTTCACAAGAAACGCCGTCGACAAAACACGCACCGTCAAAACTTCACGAAACTCCGATATGTAGTAGCCCTAGACCGTAGCTACATTTTCCAATTTGAATCGTATCCAAAGGTGAAGTATTTCTCGACTTATGAATTTCGGCGCACGGAGGGGTATGCTGCCATAGAGAATTTACTCAATCACAAGAGTTTTCACAATTCTCACAAGTTCTACACAAGAGAGTTAGAGTGGCACTAAACCAGGTAGGAGGGAAGAGGAGGACGAGAGGGAAGGTCACAAGGAGTCCCCAACCAAGGAAACCCCCATGCCACACAATTTCCGTCTCAATAGGCAACCCAACTTTCACCCTTGTCATTTTCCCAACCTCCCAAATCCACCTCACCCAACTTGGCCACACTTGCCAACCTGGTTTGGTTTCTCCCAACCACTTGGCAGCATCTACAGTGATGGGTACGAATTCCCCAACCCCCACAAGTCTGTACCCCATGTTGAGTCAACCCCACAATTTCCCATAGTCACCACAATCAAACACGCAATGCATACGAACTCCCAACATTCGTAAATTTCTTGTTCGTGCTCCGATTGAAGCGATACTTGGTTCACAGAAAGCTCTTGAGCAGAGGAGTAACTTCAGATATCTGCTCAATCCAAATAACATTCACACACACTCAGAGAATCCAAACAACACCAAACACAAATTCTTGCATACGCTCACACCACGCATGCAACGCACGAACACATGATGGGAGGCAGACAGACGTGAATGCGTATGGTAGCATCACTCAACAGAAAGTGGGAGAACGGGGCGGGGTGATGGAAAGCGGGAGAATGGGGCGGGGTGATGGAAAGCTGGAGAATGGGGCGGGGTGATGGAAAGCAGGAGAATGGGGCGGAGTGATGAAAAGTGGGAGAATGGGGCGGGGTGATGGAAAGCGGGAGAATGGGGCGGGGTGAAGGAAAGCGGGAGAATGGGGCGGGGTGATGGAAAGCGGGAGAATGGGGCGGGGTGATGCAAGGAGGGAGAATGGGGTGGGGTGATGGAAGGAGGGAGATTGGGCCGGGGTGATGGAAAGCGGGAGAATGGGGCGAGGTGATGGAGAGCGGGAGAATAGGGCGGGGCTATGAAATGCGGGAGACTGGGGCGGGGTGAGGGAAAGCGGGAGAATGGGGCGGGGTGATGGAAAGCGGGAGAATGGGGCGGGGTGATGGAAAGCGGGAGAATGGGGCGGGGTTATGGAAGGAGGGAGAATGGGGCGGGGTGATGGAAGGAGGGAGAATGGGGCGGGGTGATGGAAAGCAGGAGAATGGGGCGGGGTGATGGAAAGCGTGAGAATAGGGCGGTGTGATGGAAAGCGGGAGAATGGGGCGGGGTGATGGAAGGAGGGAGAATGGGGAGGGGTGATGGAAAGCGGGAGAATGGGACGGGGTGATGGAAAGCGGGGAATGGGGCGGGGTGATGGAAAGCGGGAGAATGGGGCGGGGTGATGGAAAGCGGGAGAATGGGACGGGGTGACGCAAAGCGGGAAAATGGGGCGGGGTGATGGAATGCGGAAGAATGGGGCGGGTTGATGGAAAGCGGGAGAATGGGGCGGGGTGATGGGAAGCGGGAGAATGGAGCGGTTGATGGAAAGCGGGAGAATGGGGCGGGGTGATGGAAGGAGGGAGAATGGGGCAGGGTGATGGAAAGCAGGAGAATGGGGCGGGGTGATGGAAAGCGTGAGAATAGGGCGGTGTGATGGAAAGCGGGAGAATGGGGCGGGGTGATGGAAGGAGGGAGAACGGAGAGGGGTGATGGAAAGCGGGAGAATGGGACGGGATGATGGAAAGCGGGAGAATGGGGCGGGGTGATGGAAAGCGGGAGAATGGGGCGGGGTGATGGAAAGCGGGAGAATGGGGCGGGGTGATGGAAAGCGGGAGAATGGAGCGGGTGATGGAAAGCGGGAGAATGGGGCGGGGTGATGGAAAGCGGGAGAATGGGGCGGGGTGATGGAAAGCGGGAGAATGGGGCGGGGTGATGGAAAGCGGGAGAATCGGGCGGGGTGATGGAAAGCGGGAGAATGGGGCGGGGTGATGGAAAGAGGGAGAATGGGACGGGGTGATGGAAAGCTGGAGAATGGGGCGTGGTGATGGAAAGCGGGAGAATGGGACGGGGTGATCGAAAGCGGGAGAATGGGGCGGGGTGATGGAAAGCGGGAGAATGGGGCGGGGTAATGGAAGGAGGGAGAATGGGGCGGGGTCATGGAAGGAGGGAGAATGGGGCGGGGTGATGGAAAGCAGGAGAATGGGGAGGAGTGATGGAAAGCGGGAGAATGGGGCGGGGTGATGGAAAGCGGGAGAATGAGGCGGGGTTATGGAAAGCGGGAGAATGGGGCGGGGTGATGGAAAGTGGGGGAATGGGGCGGGGTGATGGATAGCGGGAGAATGGGGCGGGGTGACGCAAAGCGGGAAAATGGGGCGGGGTGATGGAAAGCGGGAGAACGGGGCTGGGTGATGGAATGCGGCAGAATGGGGCGGGTTGATGGAAAGCAGGAGAATGGGGCGGGGTGATGGAAGGAGGGAGAATGGGGTGGGGTGATGGTAGGAGGGAGATTGGGCCGAGGTGATGGAAAGCGGGAGAAGGGGGCGAGGTGATGGAAAGCGGGAGAATAGGGCGGGGCTATGAAATGCGGGAGACTGGGGCGGGGTGAGGGAAAGCGGGAGAATGGGGCGGGGTGATGGAAAGCGGGAGAATGGGGCGGGGTGATGGAAAGCGGAAGAATGGGGCGGGGTTATTGTTGGTGCAACCCTATGGTTTGCACTCGGCTTGTTGTCCGTGTGCGTGCATGTGTGTGTGTCTATGGAATGGTATGAGGGCATGGGATAATATATATTTAATGCTTATAATTGTGTGTGAATGTTGAGTCATGATGTCGAGTGTATGTGTCGAGTCAATAGCGAGTTATCGCTAGACGCGTGTTACGCGGTCGTTTGTGTCTCGCGCGCGGTTTCTATTTTGTCGTGCACGGTTTCTCTTTTGTCCTGTGTCGAACGTTCGGTGTGTCGCAGGTGTGTGCAGCAGACCCATCAAGAACTCAAGGATGAGTTTGTGATGAAGAGCCGAGCCTTGGTGTCAATCCACAAGTGACTTCAAAGCTCGCCAAAAGGGTACACCTCAAGATATTGAAGATAGTTACATTACTTTGTGTAGTGTAACATTTCACTTGGTGTAGGCCCTAGTGAAGGATAGTTTCGAGACCCTTCGTGGTTGGGGACAGTGTGGCACTGCTCCACATCACTGTACCTCGGCTCTTGGGGTTTGTAGGAGCTGGGAGTCATTCCCAACTCGTAACTCTTCCTAACTCTTCCTATCTTGTGTTCTAAGACCATAATGGCTACCATAGTGCCGTTCGTTCAAACCAACCCTGTGTCGTCAATACTTGGTCAAATCGTGCGATCTAAATTGCCTATTGTAGGCGACAATAAGGCGCTCCAGATCCAAGTTGAATCAAGTCATTTGGAGCTGTGACCAAAACGCTATGAACGTTTGAAGCCGCTGTGCAGAAATCCGACTGTGCACTCTATCTTTCGTTTTAGGCACATTGGAGCCTACTGTGACTATAACAAGTGGTATCAGAGCCCCTCGGAGCAGTTTCGACAATGGCTGGACCTGAGGAAAGGGGTGGCAGAGGTGCTGGTGGCAGAGGAGAAGCCCAAGCTCAAGGCCAACCCCGTGACTCAGCCATGGCGCCCGTGCAACCAAGTGTTGGCCCATCTAGGGATGAGCCTAGAGTGTTTGGCCTTGACAAGTTCAATGGTGACAACTTTGCTGAGCGGTCCTTCAGAATTGAGAACATATTTGACCACTATGACCTGCTGGAGGTGATGGAAGGAACGGAGAAGCGTCCCGAGAACGACCCGGAGAAGAGCCCGTGGGTGCGGAAGAGCGCACAAGGCTACCTCCTACTTGGGCAAGCGTTGGGGAGCAGCCAAATCCGTCACATCAAGCCCTTCCAGCGTGAACCAGAGAAGGGACCAAAAGCATGGGCTGCTCTCAAGGGTGTACACGCTCCTGCAACAGCGGCGGTAGCTGTGGTGTTGGAACGGCAAATGGCGACGTTACGAATTGAAGAGGATGAAGCGGTTGAAGAAGGGGTGCAGAAATTCTTCGACTTGTTGACGCGGCTTGAGGGAGCTGATTTGAACTATAGTGAGCTCCAAAAGAAGACCAAGTTGCTGGCCCTACTCCCGGAGTCATGGTCCTCGCTCATCATCAACCTTAATCGTGACTTGCCCCGCCTCTCGCTTGAAGACGTGAAGCGAGCTATCCTTCAAGAGGATTTCCGCCGCCGTGAATTGGCGAGTGCGGATGGCGCTGGGGCAGCGAGCATCGGCCGTGGATATGGTCGAGGAAGAGGCAGAGGACGAGGGGGAGGAAGGTTTGGTGGCAGCAACTTTGGCGGAGGCCGTGGGAGTGGCGGTTACGGCAGCGACGAGAAGAACTACGGACGTGGTCGCGGCCGATTCGACGGCGAGTGTCACTATTGCCACAAGAGCGGACACATGTGGCGCGACTGCTACAAACTCCCTGATGGTTGGACCCCTGCTCAAGGCCAAGAGGGTAGAGGAGCAGGAGGAGGGAGAGGAAGAGGCCGTGGAGGCCGTGGCGGTCGCGGTGGCGGAGCTGCAAACATGAAGAGCGGAGACAACGACAAGGACCCGAGCGACGATCGATACCCGGGTCTATTCTACTTCGTGTCGACGCAAGTACCGGCTGGTCCAGAGAAGGATGAAGGCTTTGAGGAGCCAGCAGCTGTGGGGAAGGTGACCCTACACCCCCTGGACTATTGGGTGATCGATAGTGGCGCTACCTATAGCATGACACCTCGCCCGGACTTGCTCACCGAACTCGAGCCGTCACCGGTGAAGCATGTCACATCGGCTTTGGGGCAGCGAGCAGAGGTGAAAGGCATGGGGAAGGCCATGTTCAAGGGTGCTGATGGGAAGATGGTGGGCCTCAAGAACGTGCTTTGGGTGCCAAGCCTTGCTGCAAACCTGATTTCCGTGCGGCGGTTGGCAAAGGCCGGCATGGACACTAACTCAAAGGGAGCCAAGACCTACACCGCAAGGCTTGGCGATCGGATTCTTTGGGACCTTCATGAGGACAGAGATGTCTACAACGAGATGTGGCAGATCCCTGTGGTCCCAATGCCTAAGGAGAGGCAAGTGGCAGCAAGCGTCAGCACTAAAGGTGGAGCGGTTGGTAGCGGTGATTGCGCGGACGGTCGCGCTAAGGAGAAGGAGTCCAAGAAGTGCAATCTTGGAGGGACCAGCAAGTTCAGTGAACCTAAGGAGAGTGTTGCAGCAACCAAGGAGCAGCAAAAGGGTGAGGAGAACCTCGAGGCAACAGCGGAGGAGGACTACGGAGAGAGTATGTGGGGCGCTATTGCGAGCGCGGCATTCTCCAATCCAACTTCGGCTACGGGGGAGTGTGATTGGCTCACCTTGCATCGGCGCATGGGGCATGTGGCCCTGCCCATCTTGCAGCAGCTAGTGAAGAATGAGATGGTTGCTGGCATACGTGTGAAGGGGGAGCCCGATGAGGTGCTTGGCTGCCCGACGTGCATGCAAGCCAAGTTCACCCGTTACCCATTCTCTAGTTCGGAGGCAACGGCTAAGGCACCACTTGATGAGGTGGTGATGGACGTGGTGGGCCCCCTGAAGCTTGGAGCTGCTGGAGCTGAGTACTTCCTCACTATTGTTGACGTCTACACCCGTATGACTTGGGTGTACGTGCTGGCCAAGAAGAGCGACGTGGCTGAAACGTTGAAGGCGGATTGGTTCCCGATGGTGGAGCGGCAACAAGACCGTCTAGTCAAGTCAATCCGCACCGATCGAGGGGGAGAGTTCCTGAGCAAGGAGTTTGGGTTGTGGCTGAAGAAGAATGGTATTCGACACTCCCTCACCATGCCATACTCCCCTGCAATGAACGGCATCGCTGAGCGAGCGAACCGCACAATCACGGAGGCGGCACGCGGGTTGCTCATTGAAGCCGGGCTACCCGACTATTTCTGGCCTGATGCGGTGCGGAGCGCATGTGTGGCCAAGAACAGAGCCTTGACTCATGTGGGAGCAGACAAATGGGTGCCCTATGTGGAGTGGCTAGGAAGGAAGCCAAAGGTGGATATGCTTCGGGTGGTCGGGTGCATGTGCATGGCGCTTGTGCCTAAGCATCTTCGGCACAACAAGCTTGGTGCCAAGGCGGTGTGGGCCGTGCACTTGGGCATGGCTCAAAACAGCAAGGGATGGCTTCTTTGGGACCCATTCACCAAGAAGTTCTTGGTGAGCAGGGACTGCAAGTTCATGGAGAACTTCATGTACAAGGATTGGAAGGCGGAGAATGAGGCGAAGATAGGCGTGCGGTTTGGGGAGGTGAAGAGTTCCGGTTTGGAGCATGTGGAGCTGCCTTTGGAGCTGAGCAGCGGCAGCACAACCACGAGGCAATCCTCCCTTGAGAGAGGGGGAGAGGAGGCCACTGATGCAGAGGAAGAAGAGGAGGAGGTGCAGCAAGTGAGTGAGCGTGCACCGTCACTCCCTTCCCGTACCACGAGTGCTCCACGGAATCGAGCCACACCGCAGCAACGCCAAGGCCTTCAAGTCGCTGCAGCTGAGGAGGAAGGAAGGGGGAAGAGGAGAGTTCAACCCCCTAATAGGCTGACCTATGATGCACTTGGAAAGCAAGGCAAGACAGCCCTGGCCGGAGCGGCAATGATGGTCGGAGACGATGAGGAGAGTGACTACGAGGAGTGTGCCTTCGCGTTCTTCTCTCCGGTGGAGATGCCGGGAGAACCAGCAACTCTCAAGGAGGCTTTGGAGAGTACTGATGCTGAGGAGTGGAAGAAGGCCATGGAGAGTGAGCTGAAGAGCATCGAGGAGAATGACACGTTTGAATTGGTGGAGCTACCGGAGGGGCGTACGGCGATAACGTCCAAGTGGCTCTTCAAAATCAAGTCGGATGCCGACGGCAAGATCGAGCGTTACAAGTCTAGGCTTGTAGCCAAGGGGTACCAGCAGAAGGAGAAGGTGGACTTCAAGGAGCTGTTTGCCCCTGTGGTGAAGCCGACGACGCTGCGAACCCTATTCGCGGGAGCCGCCATCAAAGGATGGGTGGTGAAGCAAATGGACATTGTGACGGCATTCCTTAACGGCATCCTTGAGGAGGAGATTTTTATGGCACAGCCAGAGGGGTTTGATGATGGTAGCG